TTTGAATTGACTGTAAATTTAAAAAAAAATAATCAAAAAAATACGACACGTGACACAAAATATCACCTCTAAAAAGAGCAGAGAATGTGGAAAGAACTAAGAAGAAAGAGGAAAAAAAATCATTTGAATAATCATTAGGTATTCTGAAAACTTCATTAAAGTCACAAATAGGCCTGTCAATCTAAAAGGAAAAGCAAATTAAAATTGATAGTACCTATGGGCATTTTTTTTTCTCACAATTTGAATTAAAGTTCTTCCACAATACATTCAATTATATATCAGGACATTGTCAACGATCGGCCGTCATGATTGCAGGATGTTTTGTACAAATTTGCACACCTTTTGAGAGTTTATTTAGTATGACTAAATAAATAAATTTTCTGTAATTTTATATTTTTTAATTATTAAATTTATATAAAAAATTATTTATTTTATATATTTTTTTAATTTAATATGATTTAAACCGATCTAATATAATTTAAATTCTATTTAACTGTTAGAAACGGATAAGAATAACATAGCATCAATAATAATTTGAAAAGCAATTTTTACGTCTAATTTGGTTTGATGGAACGAAACTAGAGCGTGAATAAGAATAGAAATGTGATGGAATTTTTTCTGATTGTAATGTTTGATTTAACATCGGAATTAATTAGCGGAATCATAGCCATTATATTTAGTTTGTTATTAGAATAATGAAATGTAAGTTGAAATAACACTTTTGTTAGTTAGTTATTATATTTAGTTTGTTTTGAATTTTATATTTGGATAGCAGGAAGAATTTAAGGTAAATATTAAGATATTGGGAGGGTATATAGGATACGAATTTCAATTAACATTACTTTTATTATTTGAAATGATTATAACTCCTTGGGCATACTTTAAGAATGCATATTCACACGTCTTGGTGGAACTCGAGTCTTTTTAATCAAAACAATCATCATTTAATTAATTGTCATTTTATTTCCATGATCACAATCATCATTTAATTAATTGTCATTTTATTTCCATGATCATTCTGATTTCCTTCAAACCAAAAATGGCAAGTTATTTTTTGCCACATTTTTTTCCTGTTGTTATAAGTTGAAAACTCATAGCAAAATGCCATCATTTTCCCATAAAGAAATTAAAGGAAAGAAAAAAAAAAAAAGAAGAAGGAAAAAGACTATTGCTCAATAATTGTATATATATTTTTTACTGGAATAATTGTATAATTTAGATGTCTGTAGTTGGTAACTTTTCTTTCTAGTGTATGGGTAGATTGGTGTCTAGGAGTTTCTCAAGTCTCAACAATTTTTTTGTTTTTTTTTATTTTATTTTTGCATGTCATTGACATAGCATGAGTGGTTTTTTTTTTTTTTTTTTTTTTTTTTTTGCATGTCATTGACAGAGCATGAGTGGTTACAGTATTTGTTTCATCTCTTTTTCTTTATTTGACGTGAACAATATGCTTTATTATAAAAGCTAACTACTAGAAATATATTTATAGATACATGAGTTTTTAATAGTGACATTTTTATGATGGTTATCCTTTTAATATAATATTAAAATTTAATGATGTGATGTAATAAGAATCTAAGTTTATTAATTTTATAAATTTTTCATCTACTATCTAATTCATTTCAACCATCGCATTAATATTTTACGATTAAAATAACGATACATATTAATAAGTATTAGAATAACTATTAAAAGCACAACTATACTGTGTTAGTCAAGACTTTAATCAACTTTATCATCAGCAAAACAAAACTAGACATTTTATTCGGTCACGTAAAATTATATTTAAGTTTGTTTTGATCGAATTGCTAAATATTCTATCTCTATCTGGCGAAGGCACTAATCTAAAAATCCATACTATTAGAAGTAACTCGCGCTAGATTTCGTAATCCTGCTTCCTTATTCTTTCATTTATATTTAAATTTAATTTGGACAAAAACACAAAAGTTCCACAGAGAGAGGAAAAAGAAAAAAGAAAACAAATTGCATACCAATTTTCGCTTGTTCTTTAAGAGATCTTTTGATACGTTTAGTGTACTATAAATTAAGTTTTTTAACCATAATATCTACATATTTTTTTAATTTTTACGTAATTTTTTACAAATTTAATAGATTAAAAACTTAATCTATTAATATATCGGCGTACCAAAATGGTCCCTCTTTCTTTTGCTTTCAATTGCCGTTATCGTGAATCCAAGATTAATGGGTCACTTATTTCGTTGACCTCAAAATTTCACTAATTATTTAGTTGATAATAATTTATCAGGTGCTGTTTTAGTAGGATAATTATTTTTATTAAAAATTATTTATTTTATATTATTTTTAAATTTAATATGATTTTTAATTAAATTTAATAGCCATAAGACTGTCTTATCAGAAAAATTCTCTAACTGTTATAACATTTATTAGTATCCATGATGATTAATTTACCAAATTCATTTCTCTCTCTTGAATTATTGCCCCGAAAAGTTTAATCCGAAGAAAGAAAGAAAAAAATGATTTTTATTTCCCTTAAAACCAGGAAAAGTTTTCCCGTTTATGAATCCATTAGAGAGATGTATGAAAATACAGAAAAAAAAACTTTATGAATAAATTGTTTTTCACGGTCAAATATTAGTGAACCACTTGAGTTAGTGTGAATATTTATCCGTTTTCTGTCTAATCCAACCACAGTACAAAAGTCAAAAGATGAAAAATTGGTGGGCCTACATAGTAAAAAAAAAGAAGCAAAGATGAATAAATATTACTGTGTTTAATATGAGAATTCGTATTCTGATTTAAATCATGATTCATGATTTAATATAATATTTTTTTCATAAAAAATATACATAAATTAAAAATAATTCTAATCTCTTAATTCTAATTCATAAATTAAACGTCTAATTTTATTTATTTTATAAATTTAAGTTTTATTATAATAAAATTTTTTAAAAATAATCACATTTAATTTTTTTATTATAATAAAAAATATTTATATAAAATTACATCTAAATTTAAATTAATAAATTAAACGGTTAAAAAAAAACTTTACTTTACTTCAGAAAGAATTAAAAAAAAAAAGAAGAAGAAAAAATGTCAAAAATAAAACGTAAAAGTCAACTATATCATGCTTCCACCAACTCTCTCTCTCTGTTTCTCTCTCTCTACTAAAGACATAAAAGTGGTTGCACTCACATATCGGACGGTCTGAGCAGCAGGTTTGACCAAATTTCTACCCGTGTCCCAACGTAACTATGACTATTTTTTAAAATCTCCATAAGACTCCACAGGGTCACAGCTAATGAGGTCAATATCCCAACATCATTATCCTAATTTTAAACATAAAAAAAGCAAGAAAGAAAATTGTTTTATTGGATTTCGGACAGACCTAAAATCGTTGTTACTATTTTGCTTTTGAAAAAGGAGAACCAGACAAAAGAGATGAAAATATATAGGAATATATATGTATACATATATTCACACTTAACCCGTTATAAATAACGCATTTTTACTAATACCGTGTATTATCAAGGTTAACGTACAAAGGACTTCTCAAAAAGAAAAAAAGAAAAAAAACCCTACAATGGACACATACAAATTAGAAAACATTAATTCAGAGTCGTATGAGATGACATGTGACAAGGTAATGAAGTATTGGGCAATTCTATGATGTATCATAAAATTGTATCAGAATTAAATTAGTATACAAATTTATTTTATAAAAAATAAACTCAAAATTAAAATTGACATGAGACTCCGATAGCACGCCGAGCACCACCATGATGGGCGAAAGAGCCGCAACACAACACGCTACTCGAAGAAGACATCCAGTCCACCTCTTCCGCCGCCATCTCCGATCGTCGAACCAACAACCAGCCCCTTGAAAGAATCGCCGATTCGAAAAGTTCTAGATTTGACCGGATCAGACCCTTTTGATGATTTTGAAAAGTTCTAGACCTAACCGGAGCAGACCGTTTTTGGATTAACCCAAACTAATTTTTATAATAATTTGGTTTAGTTTAAGCACGGTTAGAATCGTTTCTTATAATTTTTTGTGATTTTTTAGTTATTATATTTCGTATTTCTTAAAATTTAAATGAAAAATAAATATAACAAATTAACATAATCACATACTACATGTAATCTATTAAAATTAATATTGAATAAAGAATTTTTTTAAATAACATTCTATAAGGATTAAAAATAACAGAAAGTAACAAATGAAGTTAATATTTCTTTTTTTAAAATATATATAACTCTATACATAAAAACGGTCCAGTCCTGTATAGACTACTCATAAAAGTTTTCAAATCGGACTGGTCTGTTTCGAAAACCGTATGCTCTAGCTTAAGACCACGAAAAATGAACTGCACACAACCATAGGTGAAATATTTCTTTATTATACTTTTAGGGGATGTTTGGTAAAGGAAATTATACCTGATTTGAATCATGATTTATAGTTTGTTACAATATTTTTTCTCATAAAAATACACGTAAATTAAAAATAATTTTAATCTATGAACCAAACGTCTTCTAGTATGCATAAGAAAACATCTTATTAAAATAACATTTTTTAAAAAACAGACTTTTTCATAGAACTCTTTGAATTTCATACATGCTTATTTTCGGGTAATTATGAATTATAATTGACGGTTGTTGAATATTGCTAAAAAAAGCTCTGTATTAATAAAAATACATTACCACATTAGTACTAAATGAAAAAGTTAATTTAATTTCTAACCGTTAAACTTATTAAAATCATATTAAATTGACGAAATATGAAAAATAGATAGCTCATGTAGATATTTAAAAGGGAAAATAGTTGAGTTTTTTTTTTTTTAATACCACAAATACTCAAAAAGAAGGGAAAAAAAAAAAAAAAAAGTCTATGTGGTTGGATCTCATTCGTATCTACATTTGACGGCAAGTGCTAGCGTGACAGGTATGTCACGGCAAGTGGGCCAACGCTGCTTTCATTGCCCACGATGGGATCGCTTTGACCAGAATTCCTCTCCTTCCTCTCCTCTCCTCTTTATCATCATCATCCAAATACCCAACACAAAAAAACACTCTTCCTTCCCCAAATTCCCCTTTGCCTCGTTTTTCCATTCAACACTTTTCTCTCTTTTAGTCCACTTTCTTTCCTCAAACAAAAAAAAAAAAAAAAAAAAAAAAAAGAAGAGAAGAAATTCTCTTTGTTATGCAGAGATGGCCGTGGATTTCATGGGCTATAGAAGCAGCGAGAATGTCACCTCCAAGCTAGAGGAGTGCGCCGTCCAAGAAGCCGCCTCGGGTCTCGAGAGCGTCGAGAAGCTCATCCGACTGCTCTCCGACCGCCACGTGGAGATCGAGACCATGGACTGCAAGGCCGTCGCCGACGTCGCCGTTTCCAAGTTCAAGCGGGTCATCTCCCTCCTGGGCCGCACCCGCACAGGCCACGCCCGCTTCCGCCGCGCCCCCTTGGTCCAAGCCCAAGCCCAAGCCGACAAACCCATTGATACCTCATCCGTATCCCAATCCGCATCTACAAGAATCTACTACGCGACGCCGATTCAGCAGATCCCTCCCCCTCCCCCTCCCCCTCCGCCGCCTCCGCCGCCGCCGACGAAGGAGTCGTCCTCGACCACCATAAACTTCTCGTCATACTCCTCCGCCGGCCCTGCCGCCACGACGGCGACGACGTCGTTCGTCTCGTCGTTGACCGGCGACACCGAGAGCAAAAACCAGCAGCAGCCGTCGTCGTCGTCGCCGGCTTTCCAGATTTCCAACCTCTTGTCGGCCGGAAAGCCGCCGCTTTCGTCAACCACGACGACGTCGTTGAAGAGGAAGTGCAGCTCCGAGAACCTGGGCTCCGGAAAGTGCGCCAGTGGGTCCTCCGGTCGATGCCATTGCTCCAAGAAAAGGTACTTGTTTAAAATCAGTCTTTTTTACCATTTTTTTCCTTTCTGAATTGTCTCTGTTTTTTGTTTGTTAAAACGTATTTGTTGTCGTTGTTATAGCAGGAAACTGAGGTTGAAAAGGGTCGTTAGGGTTCCGGCAATAAGCTTGAAGATGGCGGATATTCCACCGGACGATTACTCTTGGCGAAAGTACGGACAGAAACCCATCAAAGGTTCTCCACACCCAAGGTATGCAACTTTTTTTTTTTCCTTTTTTGTGAAATTTTCAAGATTACCGTATTGTCGTAAATATTGGAGTTTCGGGTCATATCACTAGTTAACAAGTCAAAACCATGAAAATTGTGACGCGATTTCTTTATTATTTTGCATCATAGACAAATTGGTTAAATATCAACATAATGTAATATAAATTCAAACTGAAGAAATCCTGGTAAATTTAAAAATAAATTGTGACATGTTACTTAATTTTCTCTATTATTTTTTTTTTGTTTCCTTCCCAATTCAACAAAATTTTCAAAACCCCACTTAATTTTATTTTTTGTTTTGGAAAAACAGGGGATATTACAAGTGTAGTAGTGTAAGGGGGTGCCCAGCGCGTAAACACGTAGAGAGAGCGCTTGACGATCCTTCAATGCTTGTTGTGACCTACGAAGGCGAACACAATCACTCTCTTTCTGTAGCGGAGACGTCTAATCTCATACTAGAGTCATCTTAGATAACGTCGGCCAAAAAACGACAATGTTTTTGCCAGGTCTTTTGCCGTTTCAATTTTCGAGAAAAGAGAATCTTTGATTGTTGTTGTAGCACTAGTGGGGGGAAAAGCAAAACAGTAGTACCAACTCGACTTTGGACTCGGTCAGAAGAAACTCATCAGCTTTTTTTATCTCGAAGGAGATTTTTTAGTGGGTTAGTTTTAATTTTTTTTTTAAATTTCCCTGTACAATATAGAATATATCATTATGGCATGGGATTCTCTCTTTTTCTCTAATTATTGTATTATTAAAAAAAAGGAAGAAAAAGAAGAAAAGAACAAAGCTTGTGAAATAGGGCGAAATAGTCCAATGTGAAATCAGAGGAAGAGAGAAGTTTTTTTTTTTTTTTTTTTTTGTTGGATTTGGTTATTGAATTGCATTGCATTAGCCAAAAAGGAAAAAAAAAAAACAAAAAAAAAAAAAAAAAAAAAAAAAAAAAAAAAGGGGCGGTTTTCATTTTTTTTGAAAAAATATATTTGCTTTATCGTTGCTTCTTTGTCTCGGATGCCCACCTCTTACTTTTCTTTCCTTAATTCATCACTTATAAATATTCTTTTTTTTTTTCTTTTTCGCTTCATTTATTGAAAACTGAAAAGGAAATTTTAAAGAAGTGAAAGGGACTGGGTCAAAAAAATGTAAAGAAGTGGGACCAACATGTCGTGTTTGGGACGGTTGACCAAAAAGAAAAACAAATTAAAGGTGTGTTGGGCAGTTGCAAGTGGGACGGCTAAATTTACTGAAGCTTTCCAAATGAATGACTTAAGAGAGAGAGAGAGAGAGAGGAGAGAGAGAGAGTTCCCTTTTTAAAATGCAGTTTGTTGGTTTGCGAGAATAGTTTGGTTGGAATTAGAGAGATGAAGGAAGGAGATTGTTGGCCTAGCAAGTTGAATATTATAAAATAAAAAAAAGAAAAAGAACTTGAACTTGAAGGTTGATAGTATGAAAAATCAATGCCAAAGTCAAAATAGGTGGGTGTAGGAATTGACAAGTTTAAGCATTTTGAGGGCCCTACTCTGTTCACAAATTTGGTTCTTTGCTTAATTCGCCTTTGCCTTTGCCTTTGCCTTGCCTTAACGTCAACCTTACTATTCAAATTTGGTCCCCAAAGTCCATCATTATGCCATTCATCATTTTCACACTTCTCAATAATACCACAGCAGATAAGAAGAAAATGGAATAAAATTGAAGAAAAGAGGGCAAGAAAAGTCAAATGGAAAATACTAATCCTCGTTGACTTCACAAATTTAAATTTTTAATTTGAATTGAGATGTGATATTTTTTAAGAGTTTTTTACTGTAGTAAAAAAAGTTAATGTGACATTTTTTAAGATATTTTTATTGTAAAAATTTAAAACTGAAAACTCAAATCGGTAAAATAAACGAGACAGTCATTCAAACAGCAGCAATTTTGTATAAGCGCATATATATATATATATATAATATATATATATGGACGACCTATATATAGGTATATATATGTCGCCTTTGCCTTTGCCTTTGCCTTGCCTTAACGTCAACCTTACTATTCAAATTTGGTCCCCAAAGTCCATCATTATGCCATTCATCATTTTCACACTTCTCAATAATACCACAGCAGATAAGAAGAAAATGGAATAAAATTGAAGAAAAGAGGGCAAGAAAAGTCAAATGGAAAATATTAATCCTCGTTGACTTAATAAATTTGAGTTTTTAATTTGAGTTGAGATGTGATATTTTTTAAGAGTTTTTTACTGTAATAAAAAAAGTTAATGTGATATTTTTTAAGATATTTTTACTGTAAAAATTTAAAACTGAAAACTCGAATCGGTGAAATAAACAAATAAACGAGACAGTCATTCAAACAGCAACAATTTTGTATAAGCGCATATATATATATATAATATATATATGGACGACCTATATATAGGTATATATGTTCCCATCCGTCTTATTCAAAGTTACACATGTAAAGTTGATGTTTTGAAGCTTCAGTTGAATTTCATTAGAGATGGAACTATACAAGGTAAACTTCCTTTCTCCTTCAATTTTGACCGCGTAGAATGGACAGGAACATTTATGGCAAAATTTGACAAATCTGTGCAATGTTTTAAATGATTTAATATGTTAAAGAGTTGGAAGGACATGGAATACTTGATGCTTCGTAAATTTGTTTGTTTGTCCATCTTTGCACGTGAAAGGGGCATTGCATGGAGTTGTCGCCAAATGCTGCTGATAAGATGCTGTTGCTCTCTGCATCATAACCTGCAGCTTGTGAAATATATATACATATACACACATATATATATATATAAATGTATATTTGAAACAAAAAATAAAACAAGCAATATAAAATTGAATAAAACAAAGTGGGGTTTTGGCCTTTGGTGTTAACGAATAGTAACTTGATGGAATCTCTTTTTCACTTTCGATTGTGTTTGTGGTGAATAAATATGGTCTCTGCATCATAACCTGCAGCTTGTGAAATATATATACATATACACACATATATATATATATAAATGTATATTTGAAACAAAAAATAAAACAAGCAATATAAAATTGAATAAAACAAAGTGGGGTTTTGGCCTTTGGTGTTAACGAATAGTAACTTGATAGAATCTCTTTTTCACTTTCGATTGTGTTTGTGGTGAATAAAAATGAGAACACTGTCAATAAAACTCGGTGGACGCAAACTGCTGCTGATTGGTTGAAACGGAGACTATCTGCCGAGTTTGGAAGCGCGTTAACTGAAAATATTGTTACGATCAAACCATAGAAATCGCCTATGAGTTTTGAAACATAAACACATACACATTATTACACATCTAATCAGTAAGCAAAATGAAGTCTGTTAGGGGGAACAAAGACTCGATTATTATTATTATTGACTTTGAGTCATGATATTAACTAAAGTTAATGGTCATATAATACGAGTACATATGTTCCCACTTCCCAGTCATACTACATGGTACTATTACCTTTTTTTTTTTCCCTCTCGTTTAAAGCAAAGTATTTGTTAATTAATTTGATGGAACTTTACTTTTATTATGCATCGACTGCTAAGAAAACTGAGAACTTTATGATAGGAATTGTTTTTTTTCCTTATCAGTATGAATTGTTGTTTAAGCCGTTCAACAGTCTAATATGTGAGTAAAATGATTAAGTGTCACGCACTGTAAATTTTGTAACATGCTACAGTTAAAATTAAAATTTCAACTGGTAAAAAGCGATGACATGCTGGTAAAAAGCACAAAGGCTACTCAACATGTTGCCCATTTGGGAGGAATGTTCGATGTACTGAGAAGGTATCACATGAAGCTCAACCCCTTGAAGTGTGCATTCGGGGTCGGATCAGGAAAGTTCCTTGGCTTCATGGTCAGTAACCGGGGAATAGAGGCCACTCCAGAAAAGATTAAAGCCTTGTAAGATATGAAGTCTCCAACAAAGCCAAAAGAGGTGTAACGACTAACGGAGTGCATCGCCGCCCTCAATAGGTTCATTTCTAAGGCAACAGATAAATGTTTGCCTTTCTTCGACGCTCTAAGAGGAAGTAAGCGTTTCGAGTGGACGCCACAATGCGAGGAAGCCTTCCAAGAGCTGAAAGAGCACTTAGGCAGGCCCCCAATCTTGTCAAAGCTAACTCCGGGTGAGAAGCTAAGTCTTTATCTCTCTGTGTCTAAACATGCTGTGAGTTCTGTGCTCATCAGAAATGAAGGAAGAGTCCAGCTACTAGTATATTACGTAAGCAAGAGACTCTTAGACGCCAAGTCTAGATATACCGAAATGGAACAGCTGGCCCTCGCCCTTATGGTGGCCTCAAGGAAGCTTCGGCATTACTTCCAGGACCACACGATACGGGTCTTGACAAATCACCCGTTGAGACAAGCACTCCAAAAGCCTGAAACTTTCGGCCGACTTCTCAAATGGTCGGTGGAGTTAAGTCAGTTCGACACATCGAGTACGTACCACGAGCAACAATCAAAGGGCAAGCATTGGCAGATTTCCTAGCAGAATTTTCACACAGACCAACGCCAGTCGTAGATGAAGAGGCCAAGGCAGTCGAGTGGAAACTCTACGTGGATGGAGCGTCGAACGAAACCAGGTTAGGAGCCGGCGTCATGCTCGTTAGCCCCGAGGGCCACAAGATTACCTCGGCAGTATGATTCCAATTCAAGGCGTGGAACAATGAAGCTGAATACGAAGCATTGATCGCAGGATTGCGATTGGCAAGTCATTTGAAAATTTAAAGGATCAACATGAACTTGTAAAGTTTTAAAGCTATGAGATACAGCAGGTACCCAGAACTGAAAATACAAATGCCGACGCTCTGGCTAAATTAGCGTCATCAAAAGATTCTGATATATTAGGAGTCGTCTCCATCGAGGAACTTCAGCGGCCAACCATTGACGAGAGGGACGAAGCCTTAGCTGTTGAGACGGTCGAAGATTGGATGACACCACTCGTCCAATACTTGGCAGATGCAAAGTTGCCGATGATAAAGAGGAGGCAAGACGGATCAATTACAGAGCAGCCCGGTACCTGTTGTATGATGGTATGTTGTACCAACGAGGCTTTTCGACACCTCTACAACGATGCCTAAATGACGATGAGGCGAGAGGAGTCCTCCGGGAATCCATGAAGGAGTATGTGGTAATCACACTGAGGGCAGTCTCTTGCTCTTAAGGTTTTGAGGCAGGGGTACTATTGGCCCACGCTTAAAAGAGATGCATTTCAATACGCTCGGCATTGTGATAAGTGCAAGAAATATGCCACAATTCTGAGAGCACCCCCAGAGAACCTAACATCCATTCTTAGCCCATGCCCCTTTGCCAAATGGGGGATCGACCTAATCGGACCCTTACACCTCGCAGCCGGGGGTTTCAAGTTTGCCATCGTCACAGTAGACTACTACACTAAATAGGCTGAGGTGAAAGCCCTAACTACCACTACGGAGGCAGCCTGCACAAACTTCAAATGGAACAACATTGTGTGCAGGTTCAGAGTCGCACACTCGATTGTATCGGACAACGAAAAGTAGTTCGACAATGCCTCAACGCGTAAATTTTGTGATAGTTTAGGCATTCGAAATGACTTCTTAGCTCCAATACATCCGCAGTCTAACGGCCAAGTTGAGGCCGTTAACAAAATCTTGAAGTACACCCTAAAGAAAAGACTTGATGATTTGAAGGGAAGATAGGCTGAAGAACTCCCAAAGGTCCTATGGTCTTATAGGACGAGGAGTCGAACAACTACAGGCGAAACACCCTTTTTCATGACGTATGGCGCCGAGGCAATCCTCCCCATAGAAATCTCAACACCGACGCTAAAAACTGTCGTGTATAACGACGACACAAACGCAGAAGCAATGAATGGAGAGCTCAACCTTTTGGAAGAAAAAAGGCTCGACTCCCAACTACGC